CTCGCGACTTTTGCCTTGTTCTTGGAGATGAGCCCAATTCCCGTAGGGCTAGAAACGGAAATTGTTCACCTGTCTCTTCCCACTTGGATGCCAAGTCTCGTCAAGATGACGGGACCGAGCAAGAAGAAAACCTGGGAAACCCCAGGGACACGCAACCAACGCGCACCTTGTCGGCGTTGGGCTCGGTTCTTGAGAGTCTCGTGTAGTGTGCCTGTAGGAACCAACGAGGCGGCGAAGAAAGAGAGGCCCCCTTTTTTTTTTTTTTTTTTTTCTCTTTTCCCCTCTCCCCTCTTTTCTCTTTACGCGGACAAGACGGGGCAGGTTCGGCGGTAATATTTAGAGTTCAATCGGATTGGAGGATGGGGACACGAAAGGATTGATGTGGATGGACTCAAAGTTGAGAGGAGCCATGGATTGAGGAGGGTCTTCAATGTTCCTTTGGGGCCTCTGGCCATTGCAGATACAACCACGGCAGACAGTTCCCGGCCGTGGAACAGGCGTAGGATTGATGATCCTCTGCGTTGGTGGCCCGGTACCTGTACCATTCTCTCAGTGGCCTGGTGAGCAAGCCAGGGTGATTACTATTTCGTTTGTCCGTCGCCGAGCACGCTGTGCTCAAGCTGTTCTCCCACGAAATAGGCCCGTTTTCCTTGCATTGGGCCGAGCACGTCCCTCTGGCCATCAAAGATCGACGTGCTTGGGCAGTCACGCCGTACGTAGATTATCCTTCAATCGTCCAAGTCGTCCATCCTCGTTCTTTTCTTCGGATCCAGCCTAGATTTGTTTGAAGTGTTTGTCAAACTTTCCATTTGCCTTTCTCGCCTTTTTCTCGCATGTTATTAATCTGCACATGGAGATTTCCAATTTCTCTACTTGGCCTTCTTGTTCTCCGTCTTACCCACCTTCCTTTGATCCTCCTGCTCCTCTTTGCTCCACCACGTTGGATGTTGGATTCTCGCTCAAGCCAAGAGGTGACATTTTTCATCTCGCTCAAGCGTTACGCCGCAGGCGGGCGTGCAGGCGGACATTCATTTCTCCCCGCGCCGCCCTGCCCTCTCTTTTTCCTCCCCTCCCCCTGGCGCGGGAACATGTTGGGGCACGCCCGCACGAGAAAACCCCTGCACGTAGTCTTCCTTCCAACGATTTGAATTGATGCTTACTCGTTCTTTTTCTTCTTGCCCCCATTGCCCGTTGATTCGGGGATCTCGGCCCCGCGCTGGGTAAATGCCTAGCGTCGACCTAACCAAGGGACGAGACGAGGCAAAAAAGAGATTTGGGGGAAAGCGCCGCGATGAGGGCAGAAGAAAAGATGGGTGGTATTTGGTGAATGGGCGGTGCGAGTCGATCCGGCCAGCTGCTTCCGTTGATGAATGAATCCATGGATTTCGTGAGACAGCCGACTCGGTTGGGCCCTCGCTTCCCCCAAGGCAGCGGGCGCGTTCTTGTGCGCGCGCATGCGTGTCTTTGGCTGGAGACTGCCTTTTCGTTTAACCGGCGAGAACTTGGCTTGTTGGTCTTCTTTTTCCTTCTTCTTCTTCTCTTCTGGATAGCTTCTTTCCCATTTTCATTTCCCCCTCATCTTTATCCACTTTCTTCGCCTTGTCTGGGGTGCGTCGTGGCGAACATAGGCAATGTAACTTGCTCCATGGACAAGAATAGTCCGCGTGATGGAAGCATCTCACAAGCGGACGGGCGCTTAAGCGGGGGTTTGTCCGCTGCCAAGAACTCCATTCATCCCGACGACGGTTAGTCGCTGACGATGGCGGTGTGCCTCTTTCGCAGAGGTGTTCCCTTTTATTAATTTTGTTTTATTTCATGGGCATCATTTGCACCTCTGGCTCGTTTTCTTTTTTCTCCTCTTTCCAAACCAACTCGAAAGGCACGTTGGAATTGTCTCTGTCTCGTGATGAGACATGAGCCGCGAGCTCCGCCCACCGAAAATAGAAAAGAAGCCAAGAAACACTTTAGATAAGTCGAGATAAGGACTTGGGATGAGACACGAGGGGTGAAGAAGCTTAAAACCTTCAATCCTTTTTGTCTCTCGTGTTTGACAGCATCGGTCGGCGCTCTCTTCGCCGCGCGAGCTGGTGTGTCTCACTAGCATCGCATCGTCTGTTCCATCTGTTCCAGTGACACCTGCCTTCCAAGACATCCGTGGATCCCTTCAGTTGGGGACAGCCTTCTAAGACCTTTGACTCTCGTGACGATGCTAATTCAGACGACGATGTAACGCGCCTTTCAAGAGGTTCGGACTTGACATAAATTTTTCTCCCCAAGCGAGAATGTTGTCTTGACTTTTTCTCGCTCTTTCTCTCGTTGTGGATTCCTGCTCCGCTTTCTCTTCTCCGCCCTTCGCCGATCCAGTTTCTAATAAGCCCCCTTTTTTTCTTTTTTTCCGACGCCGTTCCTGGATAATCTCCACTGCCGGCTCCATCGTCTTACATCAAACGAGAAAAAATAGTCCACGGCCTTGATTCCCGCACGTCATAACTTACTCAGTTGGACTCGTATCCATCCACATGGCACCGACCTCGAGGATTTGGTGGAGGGTGTGTATACAGGCTCGCGCGTGTCTGTCTCTCGTAAAGCCCGAGTCCGATGGGTCTCGCTATCCGTGTAGAACAGCAACGAGAAAAAGGCCCCTCGATGATCGGCAAAGGTGCCGACCCGGCTTTTGCCTCGGCCGGGTTTACCGGGCTAACGTGCCTTAGCTGCACCCGGGAGATCGGCCCACGCCGCACGTAAAGAAGATTAGAGACGAATGAAAAGTCAGTTGTGGGCAATGTACGCGGAGGAGTCGGATTAAGGGAAGCGGATTCCTGTGTTTTTTTCGCAAGCTGTAATCTTACTCGGGGCCCACGGAGGATCCGGCGAAGACACTCTAACGTATGTGAGAAAAGCGTGACGGGACCCAGGCAGCTTCATCGGGATGCTCGGGCGTGTATGGTCGTGATTGCCCCGGTAGATGTTTGCGTCACGATTGTCCGGCGCTACCATAGCTTGGTGGATGTGAAGGAATTTGCTCTCCCGTTGACAAGAACAAAAATCGGCGAGCCATGCGCGGGAATCGGTGATGTTGTGTCCCGCCTCGGTCTCACTCGCCCGGTCGTCGCGTTTTCCCCGGGTCAAGCCTTGGTCTGCTTCTCGCCATCCAAGGTGTCAGTTTAGAGGCTTCTAGATTTTCTTTTCCACTTTTCTGGCCCCCTTTCTCGAGCAGACTGGAGCTATCGATGAAGGGGTTGTTGGACGGGAAAGTGTATGTTGCCGACAATTTAATCGTGAAGGCCGTCAACATGAGCAGAGAGACATTTACAGGATTGATAGCTGATAGATTTAACAACCTAAATTCAGTATTTGGATTTAATATTAAAATATCTATCAAATTGGGCTTGAATCTTGCGATTATGATCAAATGATTGTTAAGTTATGCTCGTTGAGTCTGATGATGTTTAGATCATTCGGTGTTTTCAAAAATATAATCATCAACAAAAAGAATAAAAAATATTAATCCACCGAGAACATCACCCAATGCTTTCCTAGCGATTGAAAATTACTCTTGAATAGTCTCCTAAGTGTAGATTATGTTTCAATGATCTTAAATACTAGCAGAATGCGAAAATGTGTAAACTTATTACTACATGTAGATATGATATTCGTAGATGCGGATTTCCTGCAAAAACTGCCCCTGACAGAGCATGACCTATGGATATAAACGACGAGATTACGATTTCCTTCAACAACCCGGTCCCTCGTCTAATATCTTCTATCTTGATGTTGTTTGAAAGCTCATAGATCCTTCTTTCGAAAGGAAACTTCATTATGCTTTGTCCCGGAGCCGATTAGAGCCTTCTTCTCTGGATACGTTGAACGATGGAACCTGTCTATCTACGTCTCATCTCCCAGCTAGAACGTGCCTATTGCGTCTCATTTCGAGGTTATATCTAGCGGTGTCAAGAGAATAAGGAAAAACCCCTTCAAGTTCTTCCGGAGACGTCGCCTGCCTTGCCTGAAAACCCTCGTATTTGATACAGACTATCCACACACATTTCAACTTTAACGAGATGCCCGCCAGATCACTTTTAGATGCCGACTTTGCATCATCCAAGCCGGACGACGCGATGTATTCTGGACCCCGGTTCGCCCCTTAACCCTGAGTTGTGATTGGGGGCTCTGTTTTTAAACCTTCGTTCATCATGTTCCTTGCTCAAAAAACCGTTAACCCACGATCAGCCACGTCGGAAGCGCCACGCCCAGATCTCGTATGCGGTCCTTGGCAAGGGTGAGGCGCGCGATCCTACACGCCACCAGAAAATCCCGTATCTTCCTGGCATGAGAACGCGCGGACAGAGACGGCTTCCCCCTTTCTTTTTCTTGTCCTCGACCAACGCGTGATTTTTGGGCGGCGCTCCGACCACCTGGGGCTTTGTTGTCGGATACCTCACGTTTGCTGAGTGAAAGCCGTTTCTCCACAGGGTTTTCTTAAGCTTCTGTTGGATCTACCAGTGACCAAGAATTTGGGTCAACTGTGGTCACTGAATCGTCTTGTTCACGAGCTGGGTGAGAGAGTCAAGGCACACCAGAATCTCCCATTGACGACAGAGGGTCGGGTTTCATGAGATGAACGGAAGAGCGAAAGGTTTGCCCTGATACATATTCAAAGCAATGGCGAAAGCAATTAGAAATTAAATTAAAGATCAGGCTAACAAAAGTAGAATACCCAAAGCCACGACCGAGAACGTCGAGCACGGGCGACTGATGCATGTCCACACAATGGCGAACTAGAAACAAGGAATGTGGAAGAAATGAATGAATGACGAGCACCACCTCTAACTAGCCAAAGCAAGAGAGCGAGCGTTCGAGCAACCCCCTTAAACCCAAGAGTAGACCAAACCATCCCACTCCCGGATATCGAATTGCTCGACTCCCTCCCTACCCGAAGCGCCTTCGCTCCCCAAGAGACCGTCCCCATCCGTGGCTCAATGCCTGCTTCCCTCTCCCCTTTAGTAGTACTTGGGGTTCTCGGGGTCAGTAAGGTCATAGATGACGGAGGAGTGGGGGCGAGCACCACCGCGGTCGCGGGTGAAGATGGACTCGAAGTCGATGGTCCTGTTGAAGCTGAGGCTGCCGTCGTCGAGGATATCAATCCAGTGCGCCTTGTAGTCGCCGGGGGTGTTGAAGATGGAGATCTGGTATATGTGTCAGAAAAACAAAACGAATCAAGAAAGCAATCAACCATCCAGTAACGGAGGGAGGGAGGGAGGGAGGAAACTTACATCGCCGCCCTGAACGAAGTAGCCGGTGACGAGGAGGTTCTTCTTGTCGGGAGAGATCTTGACGTAGTGGGGACCGATGATGGGCTGCTGCTCGTTGGGGTCGTCGAGGCGCTTGACGTTGCTGAGATCGGAGATGTCGAGGGCCGCGACGTGGTTGCCGAGGGTGATGGAGAAGTAGGCCAACTTGCCGTCGTCGGAGATGTCGGAGTAGATGGCGACCGAGTTCTTGGCCTTGTCGCCGAGATCGTAGAGGAGCTCGGCCGTGCCGGGCTGGCCGTTGGGACCGGTGCGGAAGGGTAGATGATCCAGACGGTTCCGGTAGCGACGGCACTAGATGAGGTTAGAAACACTGAGGAAGAGCGGAAAGAGTAAAGGTGACTTACGTAGCAAGGGCAGCGCTCTCGGGGTTGCCGGGGATGAACTTGACGTCCTGGATACCGCCACCCTGTTCCGGAGATTTAGCGACTTTTTGAAATTCGAAAACGGAAGAAAAGAAAAAGGCAAAAAACTTACATCGGGAATGGTGATGGTGGACAAGATCTTGCGGGTGGAGAGGTTCCACAGGCGCAGGGTGTTGGCGTACTTGGCGCCCAAGCTGGGCTTGAGGACGGTCAGGGGCACGACGAAGTCGGAGGTGAGGATGATGTCCTTTTCGAAGTCGATGGACAGGCCGTGGGGGAGAACTGCTCGGTGAGGATGTTGAGGGTGCCGTCGACATCCTCGGGCCACTCGTGGATGATGTTGAAGTCGGCGTCGGTCTCGACGAGGCGGCCGGGGAGGTGCCGACGGCGCTGCCCATGTAGGTGATGAAGAAGCCACTGGAGGAGGAGAGAGAATGTGTGAGCGCTAGAACGACGGTGTGTGAAGGTTTGGGATTGGTGAGGGAGAGGGACTAGAGGAGATAAAAGGCGCTGCGGGAACCAGAAAAACAGATCACTTACCCGTCGGGCTTGGCGCGGATCTCGTCCACGATGGAGCTGAGAAGAGCCCTGTTGCTCTTGAGGAACTTGGGGCGGTAGGGGTCGGACACGTCAAAGTAGAAGGCGGTGTCCTGGGTCTTGAGCAGGGACAGGAGACCGCCGCCGAGGAGGGTCTTGCCGTCGGTGGAGGGGCTCAAGTGGTGGGGCGAGTTGCCGCTGGTGGGCACATCGGCGATGTCGATGACGGTGCCGAAGGTATCCTTGTTTGCCGGAATGGTCAGCACGGTTCAGGCAGTGGGATTGTTCGAAGGGGAAGGTTACTTACATCGTCGAGACTGGTGGCGACGAGGAAATCCTTGTGCTTGTTGTCGCCGGCGCCGGTCCAGAAGTAGCCAATCTTCTTAGGCTTGATGTTGGAGGCGCTGAAAGGCGGGCTGGGCAGGGCGGGAGTGGGCACCTGGAGCACAGGGAGAGGAGGAGCAATGTCCGCGAGGGGCTCGGTGACGCCGGGGATGGCGGGGATGAGGCCGCCGGGGATGCTGAGGCCGAGGGGCTTGGGGAAGCCAGGGCCGGGCAGGCGCAGAGGGCCGCCAGGATGGCGGAGGTGACGAAGCCGGTCATTATGAAAGGGAGGGGGAGCAATTAGATTCTTATTAAGCGCAAAGGGGAAAACACACAAAAGCAGTAAAAGGGAAAAGGTTTGCCAAGGGAGTGGAGATGGCTTGGGTAGGCGAGCCAAAGAGGTTGTTGTGTTTGGTGATGGAGGAGGAGGGATGAGAAGATATTGAGCAGTTTTGAGGTAGTTTGCCGACCTTCTTATACAAGTCTCGAGTCTCAGTTTCTCTTGTCGGATCGAAGCCTTTCTTCATCTCTCACATCCTCCTTTCTTCGCCCACGTTCAGCCCACATTCGTCGCCTTCAGATCACGCCAACGGGGGAGGGGACCCATCTCAAACCCTGGTTCATCTCGAAGCACGCGAGCGCCTTTCTCCGCGCCACTTCGATATCCCTCCCCCATGCTCGAAGGGCAAAAGGAAGATGTCAAAAAGGCGCTGGAGGTTTTCTCTTTCTCTCCGATGCGCCTGGAGATTTGGCCGTGATACTTGCCGGCACTAGCGCGAAGAATGACAAACAAGAAAAATTCCTCATCTGCGGCCGTGAGGTGCGTGTGGTTCATCCCTTCAGCTCTTCCCTCTCAGGCGCTGAGAGCATCGCAGGAGTTCGTCAAAGGCAAAGACATGTGTAGTGTGTCTTCGCGATGGCATCATCGAGGCCTGCACAGTTCGTGCTTCACTGGCGTGCGAGGAAAAGGAAACGATCTGCCCTCTTGGAGGAGGAATACCGTGAGTGCTCTTCTTGTCCCGCGCGGAGAGAAACCTCCCTCCTAGACCCCCTGTCTGACGCCGTCAAAAGATTTCCCAAAAAGAATCGTGATGGGAACAAAAAACGCGCGCCGGGGAGTGGTTCAGCCCGCGTGGGAAGTTGGGAGACAAGCAAGGCTTTCGTGAAATGACGATGGGCAAGACTCAGCATCATCAGCTGAAACCCAACAAGGCAGAGTATTCCCCGACAAGCCTACCCCCATTCTCTTCTGCCCCCCATTTCCAATTCAAATAGGCATAGGGCAATGATCGACAAAAAGGGACGCGGGGAGGCAAGGGCAAGAAGGGGATCGAGGGAACTAGGCACGGGGCAGCGCCAGGAGTCGCCACCGCGCGGGTGGGAAGTATGACGATGGCGCTGTGGGTTTTGTCATTGTGCGCCGGGCAGAGACATGTCCGATCGGAGTTGGATGGATGTCGACACGGCCGATCTCTTTTTTCCAAGGATGCTGGAGAGTGGAGAAGCATGTGCAGAGAGCTAGGCGCAGGTACGCGCTGCTGCCAGGGTAAGGCGGAACGGCCGAGAGATGATGATGGAGCAAAGGGAGAAAAAGAGAGGGCGAGGCCCACTTATTTCCGGGAAAAAGAGATGGTTATCCCGGTTCATCTGCTGCTACGAAACTCTAGGCTCGGGCTCCGGGTAGTGGGTTGGGCAGGGACGGATGACCCTGGTGTCCTGCAGGATTGATGGAGGAGGGAGGTAAGGAAAACCAAGGCGTGTTCACGAGTGAGTGTGGTAGGATCCCCATTTCCTTTTGGCAGGGCTCACAATAGGGAGAAGGGGAAGAGAGAGAGACAAGAAGAGAGGGCAACAAGTCTTGGCTTACCCAAGCCACTGGTGTCAGGTCGAACGAGCCGTCCCCAAAAAGCCACACAAGTCAAGTGGAGATTTCCCGGTTCTCTTCGCATCGCATGCACGCACTTGAACTGTGAGTGGGGTCCAGGCCAGGCCAGGCCCATGCTCGGCAGATGACGCGACAGGAAAGGGAAAACAAAGAAAACAACAGTGGGATGCCACCCTGTATCGGACGGGACCTGGAATCTGCGAGGGCTGCGACGTTTCGGCCAAATCTAACCTTGGCATGAACCAGGGCAGGGGATGAATGAAGGAGGGGGGGCTAGGACGGCAAAAAAGGAAAAGAAAGCTTGACTATGACGATACCTTGAGCTGGGAACTAAGGTAAGGCGTGCTCCGACTTTTTCAAGTGGTTAGCTCCGAGCCCTAGGAGATGCGCCGTTTGGTCACATCCGGGTCTTGGGAGGTGGGGAACGTCGGGCAATTCAGCGCGGGTCACAAGCGCGCGGTGAGTGCAGCCTTGGCATAGAGGCTCCTCCAGGTCTGCAGTCTGTCCATTTCTCTCGCTCTGGGTTCATGCTAATCTTGGGTATATGGGAGCAAGTGGAAGCGGGTTGGAGAAAGTCGGCGGCGAAGAGTGCACGGAGGATGCAGGCTTCGCATCATCGTGCTTGATCTCGTTCACGCAGGCCGATGGGTTTTGGCGAACCCAGTACCGAGAATAAGGCACCGGGACCAAATGACAATGAAAGAAGGCCACAGCTGTCAGATTTTACCGATGCGGTGTCCTCGTCCCCTTTGAGTCAAATCCATCACCTCATCTCTTTTTCCGTCGCGACCACGCGATTTGTCAAGACATGGCACGCCCCGAAAGAGGACGTGGACAATGGGCGATGATCTGCTTACTTTTCTCCGATCGTTCATCTTGTTTGCCTGCCTCCTTTTTTGGCTTTGTCTCTCTTTCACCAGCGTTGGGCCAAAAGATGGGTAAGGAAAGAGGTTGTGTCTGATGTCGATCCTATCGCGTTATTCTCAGCCGCGATGTCGAAACCACCCCTGTCCACGAGGCTTGCTGCTTGCCTGTTAGCTCTCCCCCACTCTCCACTCTCCACTCTCGACTCCCGCCGATAGCTTCCTCTTCCGCTCCGGGATCGTGGCCCCCACCAACCTTTCGGCGCCACACGGGAAGTGGCGCAACAGCCCACCCTCACACTTGCTCACCACTTCAATGTTCCTTTTCAATCATTTCTCCCCGGATCAAATGCAGACAAGCCCACACACGGGCCATTGTGTGGCTGGAGCCAAGCCAAGCCCTGATGTCAAAAGTGTTGTTCTTCTTCCTCCCCCGGCCGAAAAGATTGGCAAGCAACGCTAAGAAGCAAACCGACGCTTGCCGCGATTCGGCAGTCGCCAGTGCCGATCCTTAGCACCGAAGCTTAATCTTTGTTTTCGCTTGGCTTATATCCGCCCACGCCCGGAAGACTATACTGTCTGCCGGGCCACAACACTTCCGCGGGCTAATCGGGGGAATGGGGGATAAGCAGATTTGAGGAAGAAAGAAGAAGCAAAAAAAACAGTAAAAGTTACAGAGCCGATTTCGCCTGTTTCTACTCCCCCGAACACTAATGTTCTATACGATGGCCCCGTGTAGCAGTCGCACACCATCCGTTCCCTTCCCTCTCCGCGACCCCCTGCTATTCTGCATCTTTAATTTGCAAACCTCGGTCGGACTCTGCACGGCGACAATCTCTCTGCATACGGCGAGCAAAAGGAAGAAAAGGAAAAAAAGAGAGGGCGAGCAGTGCGTACCCCAACTGAATCCAGCACGAGTGGGGGTAAGTGTACGCCGGTGAGCAGGTAGAGTTGCTGCAGTCAACAACGCAGTTCATCACCGCGTGCCGAGATCCCGGCCGTCCAGGCTCCCCCTCTCTCTCTCTTCCTTCCCTTCCCTTCCCCCGCGCGCACGCCCAAATTCTCCCCCTCATCGCCATTAGGCAAGGTAATGACGAGCCGCCGATTCCAATTTCACTACCGCGTGCCATCTGTCGTGCCAGGCACGCGCGGGGTACGGCGAGTGGGGTTTGATGTTCTTTGTGCACCTTGCCCAGCAGCTTCCCTCATGTGTTGCGTCCGGTGAATGTTAGGGAATGCCTACGCGCAGTGCAGAGGCTTTTGTCCTTTCGATTGATAATACAATGTCGGCCCTGCGCGTGTGGCGCTGGTCGTGGGCCCCCGGTCTTGGGCGTCGAATTTGTCCGCCTTGGCGGAGCTTCTGACCGGAAAACCCCTCCTTTGCCGTGTGTGATGAGAGTGGCCGTCACTCGGTACCGCCGGGGGTGTATGTAGGAGCTGCACTGGGCTGGTTGGAGATTTGTCCGCGTCCGGCGATGCAGAAACCCCCAATCCGTACCTAGCGTGGTTTTTCTTTTTTGGTGCTTGTGTTTCTTTAATCTACATGTACGCCATGGTCTTACACTCGACACATGGCAGCTACGAAGTACTAATAAAGCATGCTCAAAAGTAACATATATATTGGCACAGCAGCTGCACGACTTTTGAAGAGGGGAAGACCCTGTTTTACTTTTTGTTTTCTGTTTCCTCTTTTCCAGTTTGGTAGCTCCTCCTTTTCCACCTCCCTCCCTCCCTACTCACTCACACTCGTTGTGTCCTTCATTCTTTCCATTGGGTTTCTCGCGTCCGCATCCGCACTCTACGCTCTCTCCTCCTCTCCCTCGCTCGCAATCATGGTGAGATTTATCAATACCCTGCTTCTCGGCGCGGCCAGCGCCCTCGCCTTCCCCAACTCCCACCTCGTCGAGAGGGACGAGCCCCAAGCCCAATTCCAAGACGGCCAACCCATTGGCCACGGAAAGGAGCTCCTTTGGTTGGTACGAAAAACGTGTCTTCCTCACTATCCGTAAATACTGCACGCATTCTTTTGCGTTCACGGCAACTAACTTCCTATATGCGCTTGTAGGCGGCACCAATGAGTACATTGACAAGCAGAACCCCGATAACTTGGGTCAGCAGGCGACGGATAGCGGTCTCGTGCCGAACCTGAAGTGGAGGTTTTCCGACTCCAAGAGCAGAAACTACCCCGGAGGATGGCTCCGCACCCAGGTCAAGCAGGATCTCCCGGAGAGCCACGACATCGCTGCTGCTCAACAGCACTTGTCCAAGGGTGCCATCCGAGAGCCTCACTGGCACAAGAACGTAAGTCGCGTCCAACCATGTCACGCCTGAGAGCTAGTGGTTCCCTCCCCCTCTCTCGGACGGTTTGAAATGGTCAAAAAGGCCCCTGTTCAATATCTAATCCATTCTGGGTGTCATTTAGGCCGAATGGGGCTTTGTCTATGCCGGATCCGTCCTCATTTCCATCATTGACGAGGAGGGCGCCACCCAGCTCGAGACCCTCAACTACGGCGATATCTGGTACTTCCCCAAGGGTACCGCCCACACAGTCCAGGGTCTCGAGGACGAGAACGAGTTTCTCTTGGTGTTTGACAACGCCGACTTTGATTCCGCGGGGTAAGCACATGTCCTGACAGAGCTTTCTGCAACCATCCCCTTTGTTTCTAAGCGCCCCGACCCCGAAAGTGAATATAAAGGACGCAACTGACATCTTCAACAGCAACACCTTCAACGTCGCCGACTGGCTCTCCCGCACGCCCAAGGACGTCCTCGCCCGCAACTTTGGCGTAGACGAGTCCGTGTTCGACGACATCCCCAAGACCACGCCCAACATCCTCAAGGGCACGCCCAGCACCCGCAACGTGACCGCCGGCGCGGGCGGCTACGCCACCGGCGACCACTCGTACATCTACCGCACCCTCCAGCACGACCCGGAGCCCGTGCCCGGCAACGGCGGCACCTTTTACAAGATCGACTCGACCAACTTCCCCGTGAGCACCACGATCGCTGCTACCTTTGTCACTCTGAAGCCTGGTGGCCTCCGTGAGCTGCACTGGCACCCCAACGTAAGTTTTGGTCGTTTCGATCATCAAGTTTTGGAAAATGGCTAACGATATGGGATCTAGGTCGAGGAGTGGCTGTACTTCCACTCGGGCGAAGCCCGCGCCACCGTTTTCACGGGCAACGGCAACTCGCGCACGTTTGACTTCCATGCTGGTGACACTGCTGTGTTCCCCGACAACTCTGGGTAAGCCGAGTCTATGCCTTCTTAGAATGAGAACAGAAGAGCAAAACAACGTTCTTTTTATATATATTGTTGCACAAGTGCTAATATTTCCCCCTTGCGTTAGTCACTACATCGAGAACACCTCCGAGACCGAAGACCTTGTCTGGATCGAGATTTACAACTCGGACCGCGTCGTGGACATTGCTCTCGGCGAGTGGCTCGCCCTCACCCCCGCCGACATCGTCGCGCAGTCCCTCAACGTCCCCATTGAGTTCGTTGAGAAGCTTAAGCGCGAGAAGCAAGTGCTTGTCGCATAAGAGGAACAATTATCTTATCAGCCCTTCGGGTAGGGGATAGAGGAGGGCGCATTGCGTGCACGGTGGAAGAAGAAGTGAAGAAGCCAGCAGGAGGTTGTAGAGACCGTCTTTGTTTTTCTCTTCTTGCGCCCGCCAAGGGCCGCTGGGAGTGCGCACCCTTTGGCAAATATTTAGTCCTTACTTAAAAACGCTGTATACCATAATACTAATCGAATTTTTTCAACAAGCTTGGTAAACAAGGTTTATTTTGTCAATAAACAAACAGAATGTGGGGTGACGCTGTTTTGCCGGTCCTCTCCTGAGAGAGGAATTGAGTTAACTTTGAAGTGGTTAATTGCTCGCTAATATCAAGCGCATACAAACACAACTTTTTTCTTCTTCCTTTTATGGATGTTTGGAAACCTTGACTTGGGAATTGGGGCGCCGGTGACCGGAACTAGTCCGACGCCAGCCAGGCCGAGTTGTCCGGTCTTGGCAGCGCGGACGGAGGCGACGCCGGTCGGGGTTGGAAACCCAATGTCTGTGATTTTCTCGACCTCATTCAACATTGAGTAGACTCGACGCGAAAGCCCCAATTGGAACCCAACGCGGTCCCAATGCTTGAAAGGATTTTGGAAGACAAAAGAAAAAGAAAAAAGAGCTACAAATAATTTCATCCCACTGGTGCTGCCAGTCGGACACCTCCTGGTTGCTAGGCGCAAACGCAAAGTGAGGGGAGGTGGGGTGAATTTGCGTGCTCTGCATGCGCATGAGGGCACATGCGGCGTGCAAAAAGACCATGGCGGGATGATGCGATTTCAATGATGCGATTGTGGCATGCCTTGTCGAGTCGAGTGTGCTGGTCTCAAGTACTCGCTCTCACTGGCTGCATCGAGTCGCCACTGATTGCATTCGGAGAGCGGCCTCGGTGGCCCCGCCTTTGAAGCATCGGCGGACCGTGCATGGAAAAAGATGCTGTGGAACCAGAATCAATCGCTTGCTTATTCGACCTTGGCCCGTCGATGAGGGGAGAGATGGTGATACATAGAGACGGACCTGCGAGAAGAGGCCAATTGCCCGTCGAGGCACAAAGTGATGTTCCATTTGCTTTGTTGCCCCTGCTCTTGTCACATCGTGGGCCATTATAATGTGTGCCAGTTAATTATGGCCGGAGCCACTGTTATCGCTTCCTTGCCTGCTCCCGTTCGCTTGCTTTAACGCTGGGACCTTCGCCCAAGGTTGAAGTAAGATTTGCTTGCCATTGGTGAAGTCACGATGACGTCAGTTCCCGGCACATTCCCTCCGCCCTCCCTTTCGCTTTGGGTGGGAAGGCTTCTCCTCTTTGGGGCCTAGTCAGGCACGTTTTCTTCTTTTGACACATCTGCAGTGTGCCCTTCCCATGTTGCATCGCCTAATGCGGACTCAAGAATCGAAACATGAGTGACATTCCCAGTTTCCTTTGCCAATTCCCCTGTCTTCCTTCGCTTCGTCCAGAGCCGACCGAAGAGGGAAATGGAATGTATGGGTCCCGTATTATGTTTGAGGCGGGGAGGTTTTTGCCCCGGCCAGCACACGATGCGATGGGGAAATTTGGAAGGACCTGCCAGTTCGTGATGGTGCCGGATTTCTTGATATTAAGTAGCAACCTCGCTTGTAGACCTAGCGACCCGACGAGTCGCGTTATCTTAATCACATCATCTTTCGTTTTAGAGGTATACGCTACGATGGAGATGGGACCGAAGCGGGCTCCGCTGATATTTGATTGCGAGGGACGCTAGAAACCTGCTTTTAGGTGGTATGGGGGTTTCAATGATATGGAGAATCCAAAATTCTTGTGAGAGCGGGCGATGAAGGAGGAGGGGTTCTCTAGCTTCGCAAGGGGAGGGAGGGCTTTTGCCGTTGGGTAGCTGCTTGGGGAGAAGCATGTTCGTTCTGGGAAATGATTGACAGGGGGACAAGGTCATCGGAGAAAATTAAGCAGTGCCGGCCGTGCGTGTGCGTGGCATGGACCTCGATAGAGTCTGTAGATTTTACCGAGCTGGCATTTGTCTAATAGTACATTCGCGAGCGAGCACTGAACGCCGTGGATAGATCTTGGTGTAAATGCGTGCGAAACTGAATACCACTCTCCCTAAACTGACAAACACAAAAGAGGCTTATTCTCCCTTCTCGTCATTGTGCACTCTTGCGTGTAGAATGAATGGATCAGTCGGGAAGAAGAGGAAAAAAGACGAGGATAAATATATTACACGAGAAACGATGTATTCTTAGTTGAATAGAAGACGAATATGTATTTTGAATCCCATCTGCCAACCTACTACTCCTCCTCCGTCGCCCCCGTCTCGGTAGGTCTCGCCGTCTCCGATGCCGTCCGCGTAGCTCCCGCCGTCTGGCTGGTGCTACTGCTGCTGCCCCCACCGCCGCCACTGCTGTTGCCACCCTTGAGCACGGTCGCCTGGACAATCTGCCCGACCGAGTTGAAAATGATGTTGACGAGCGACCCGAGGGTAGAGTACTCGTACGTCTTTTGAATCAACCCGTTGTCCAGCAGCTTCTGCTGACCCGTAAACGTCATGTTCTGCTCGTAGTTGCCCACGATAGTATGCACCACGTCGCCCGCCGTGCCCACCACCTCCTGTATAATATTGCCCAAGTTATCGATGATGTAGTTGAGCTTCGAGTCCCCGCTGAGCACCGACCCCAGCAGCCCGTCCACCGCCCCGATGACGCCCTCGGCAATATCCCCGACCTCATCGAGCAAGTTGATGAGGAGCGGGTTCAGGTCCAGCGACTGCAGCGTCCGGTTCACGATGCTGGCCAGCTGGCCCAGCCGGATCACGAGCTCCAGCTCCGCCCCGACGTCGGCGATCGTGATGTTGACTTTTTCCACGCCGATGCTCACCCCGGCGTTGATCTCGACCAGGTTCGCTACCTTGGCGGCTAGGTTTATCTCGGCGCGCAGGTTGTCCACGTCGAGCTCGATGCGGCCTACCGAGAGCTCCGGCACGTTGAGGTACACGTCTGGCGGACCGAGCTCGCCCCAGTCGCGCGTCGCGCCTGGTGTTCGGCCAGTGCTGGTCCGGGTGGAGGAGCTGCCGCTGCCGCTGCCGCTACTGCTGGATGGTGTGGCTTCTTCTTCGTCTCCTCCCGAGGATGGTTGCGCTGTGGCGGCGGGCGTGGATTCGGTGGAGCTCTCGAGGAGGAAGCCGTCGGAAGTGACGCCGGTTTCGACGGGACCGTCTGCGGTATCTTGGGCGGCGACGAGGGTGACTCGGAGAAGCGCCACTAAGACCGTGGCGAAGAGAGAGTTTCGCATCTTGTATGATGGCGCGAAGGGCCCGTTTGTTTTAGAGAAGAACAAGATGCCGTGTGGGTGTCACGGAGATGGTTGGAAAAAAGGGACAGGGTCGGGTGGGAAACAGAGACAAAGTGGTGGAGTGACCCGGGGGATAAACGCCGAAAGGAGGGGGATAAAGAAAGACGAGATGGTCGGCGGGGAGGGAGAGGGAAAATCGAGAGGTGGCGTGGGGAGTTTCGGCCTTTCGTGGGAGGAGGGAGAAGTCTTGTCAATAATAGCGATGGTGGGGGAGGGGGACAATACAAGCAAAGTACCGCGTGCGGGATCAAGAGAAGGGAGGGTCGATAACGAGGAATCAAGAACGTGGAGCTTGTCAAGATCGGACCAAGAAAAGACATGGCCTCAAGCATGCCGTTGAACCATACCATGACACCCATCTCTTCTTTGCAGGGATATGGAGATCGGGCCTTGGAAGACGGGCATTTTTGCAGAAATTGCCAGACCCCAAAAGAAATGTCACTCTAGCATGCGCCGCCTCCAAAAAAAAAGGACAAGAAAGCTCAGAAGAGACAGCTCGGATTTCCTGGCAAGCTCACAATCAATCGCTCACACTGAAACACCACGGACAGGGGTGGGTGGCGCCGATGCAAAAGGGGATAGGAACCAATCGAGATGCGGCGCAAGCGGACCTGATCCGGAGAGGGGACTGCAAGCCTCCCAAGTTCGGGTCCGGTATATTAACCCGCAGGGCTGGCGCATTGTGTGGTCCTGCAGGCCATGGCACACAGGCCAAGGCAAAAGTTGGCCACCCCGGTCGCCCGTTCCCACTAATACGGCAATTATACGCTCCCCTGTTCGAGCGCATTCTTTGCTCGCCGCTCCACCCACCCGGCGCCACCATCGATCAAATCGAGAGCCATTGTGCGGGTCTGCGCGCGCATGTGTCTTTGCATTTCTGGGGTTGCATCGTCTAGCTTTAATTTAGTCTTTCAGTGCATGATTGGGGGAGACGCGCAAAGATGGCCCTTTGGCACTTGATGCTTTTGCACTTTTTGCTCTCTCGTTCGCTTGCTTCCTTGCATCGTGATTTGACCGCCCCTCTTTTCTTTTGACGAAAGAGCAAGGATCCTGCCTTGGTTGTTGAACCAGTTACCTTTGAACGACAAGGACTTGTTCCTAGATGCTGCTACGACCTGGATTCAAGTACTTGTCGAGGATGTATGTCAAGAAGTTTGGTCGAGGAGCGTCGAAGCTCCATCATGCTTCCTTGAATCGATGCTCTACGCGCAATCTATCCCGCACCACGCTTTCTTCCGCCTTGGCCCCAATGTCCCCAATGTCCCTGCTCTGCCCTGCACATCTCCCGTGAAACTTTGCAGGGCTCCGGCTTGTGGGTGGATTGGATATTGCTGCCAAAGGGGAGCTCGCCCCACCCCCGACCAACTTGCCCGTCCCTTTCTTATCCCCCTTGCATGTCACCCCGACCCATCTATGCCTTGGAGCTGCGGCTTTCATACATCTAGACCTTGGTTCCCACCAACGCCGTATGCTATAGGTCTGCGCCTGGGTTTTATTCTTTTCTTTTCTGGCCTTGTCCGTCCTTCCACCCCTCCCCTTCCTTCCCCCACTCTCCTGACAGCAGTCCTCCTTTTCGTTCCCCTCCCCTCATTCTTTCCACACTTGCCAATTCCGGATTTCTCGAGGTACGCCAGCTATACCTCGCTGGTGCCACTACTTCTTTTCTCCTTCACTCACCCGCTTCCTCTTCTTCCCCAACTGCCATCCAAGGCCTCTTCACGCTCTTTCTACACCCACAGAGGAAAGCAGAGAAGCCAACCAACATGGCCACGATAACAATCACCAGGGTCCTCACCCTCCTCCTCGCCCTCCTCCCCTTCCTCGCCACCGCCCAAAACGAAGGCTACGTCGGCTACCGCCTCGACCAGGAAGGCGACCCCGAAGCCGCCGTCTACGAGACCGAAAACACCAACACGGCGGGGCGGCCCCTCCCCAAGAGCCCGACGTCTACCTCAACGCCTCGGTACACGTCAAGGAGATCTCGGTCGAGGTCGACAACATCACCGCCAAAGTGAACCTCGACGCCCGCGTGCTGAACCTGCTGCACTTTAGCGCCGGCGTCGATGCCTCCATCGACCGCGTCAAGCTGCTGATCCAAGACGTCGTCGCCCGCGTCGAGCTCGAGGCCCGTCTCGAAAACGTCGTCGGCATGGTCGACGACGTCCTCCGCAGCATCGACCTGAACCCCATCGTCGCGACGCTCGGCCAAAACGTCCGCGACATCGTCGACGATGCCGTCGGCGTCATCACCGACCCCGTGGAAGGTGGTAGCGGCGGCGGCGGCACTGGCGACGATGCCTCATCCGGCGCCGAGAAGCGCGATCTCCGCTACAACCTCGAGTACAACATCCTCTACTCCATCAACGACTACAGCGGCAAGGCCCACACCAACCGCGTGCTCGCCCAGAACGGCGACCTCGTCGACATCAAGCTCGACAACGAGGGTCGCGAGACGGGCCGCTCCGTCGCCGGCACGTTTGCCCGCCTCATGGAGTTCACCGGCCACAACAAGACCATTAGCGTCGACGACGAGGTCACCGAGTACGAGATGCAGTACGTCTACAAGCCCTTCCCTAGCATCGAGGTCTTTGCCTGGGTCTACATGAACACCGCCGGCGCCATCACCAGGACAGAGGTCATCGCCGGTGCCACGGGGGCGGCATGAGTACTTTTACCGGCGACAGAAAGAGCTGAGGCCGCGCCGAGGGGACGGACGGGGAAAGAGAACAGGAACCGGAGAAAAGGATGGGAAGGAGCCGCGACGCGAGGCGGAAACGCCGACGACTGGGTTGAGAATTTAGATACCAACGGATGGATGGGACGTTGTGAGAGAGATTTTGCGCCGGCTGCTTCCCCAACCTCCATGTTAACAGGATTGCGTGTTGCCTTTTTCTTCTACCGCTTCCTTTCTCCTTTCCTTCTCTTTTGTTGTCCTCTTCCGTTTCCTCGCTCTCCACGTCGGAGATGTTGCCTAGGCGGCAGCCAAAGTCTGCTCATCATGTACATATTCGCTAGAAAGAAGCAAAAAAGAAGATAAAAACCACCCTCGTGAGGCCTTTTGCCCCGCCGTGTCTTGTTCGGCATATCTTTTACTCTCATATCAACACACACAACATATACCTCTACGCGTGAGGCGCGTCCTGCAGCCCCGGCCACATAATCTTAAACCGCACAGCCGGTATCAACTCCGGCTGCCCGTCACCCCCAGCCCAGCCCCTCCGTCTGCGCCAACAGCGCCTCCAGCGCCGCCTGCCGCGCGTACGAATCCCACCAGTACAGCAGGCAATCCATGCAAAACGCATTAGTGTGGTGGTACAGCGACTGCAGCCGCGCCCGGCGATCAGGCCAGAAGCGCGTCGCATCCCCCAGGGACAGCAGCTCCCGCACGCGCGCGCGGTCATGCAGGCTCGCGACAACGGCAATATGATGGTTCCGCAGGCGGCGATGCACGGCAGCCCGGTACTCGACCGCATCGAGCGGCTGCGCCCTCGGCCCCGCGACATCCCGCACATCCCGCACCACCACAGCATCATCGTCGAGATCCGGCAGCTCTTGCCGGTACGCCTCCATCTCCTCGTCCGCGAGCTCCGCCGGCGGCGCCGGCAGGGCGATATACACGACCTGCACGACGACCATGAGGCGCTTGACCGCCCCGCGCCACACGTCCGTCGACAGCTGGTCCCCGCGGCGGAGCTCGTTGCCCAGCCCGCCGGGCAGCAGCACACTGGTAAGGCTGTGCGCGGCGGCGTAGAACCGCCCAATGTGCTGCAGGAAATCGCCGCACTGCAGGCCCATGGGCCGGTAGTCCGCGCCTAGGTCCAGGCAGTCCCCGACGACGCCCACGTCGTGATGAAGCGCTTATTCTCGCGCCGCGTCCACGACGGCCCGCTCCGGTACGTCCCGCTGCCGTGGATGGGAACACGCCCCCGCGGCCTAGCACCACGGCCCGCGACTCGCGGCACACGCGCGCCAGCGTCGGCATCGGGAGCCGCGCCGTCCAGCAGTACGGCTCGCCAATGGATTGGCCAATGTGCAGCGTGCGGCGGCCCCGCACCGGTAGCGCCGCCTCCCAGATTTGGAGCCGGATCTCGGTCGGCAAATCGGGGAACCGCGTAAACGGGCGGCGCTCTGGAAACGCCGTCGCGTAGGTGGGCGGTGGGGCCGGTTTCGGGGTCCGGCGGAACGCGGAGCCGGAGGACCCGGATGGCTTGTTTACCCCGCGCAGGGCCTCGCGCAGAAAGGCGTCGACGAGCTGCTCGTGGATCGCCCCCTGCTTGGCCGGGCTGAGGGTGGCGTGCGGCGGGTAGAAGACGCTCGGCCGCGCAAACGGGATGGACTCGAGGAGAAGTTCTCGGAGAACCGCCATCGCGCCTTCCGCCTGCCGGATCGTTTCGTCTTTCCCGGGTGGCGGCGCCGCGGGCGCCGGCTCCGCAAACCAAGAGTGGGCCAGGTGAGAGCACGTGGTCGAAGACGTTATCTGGGGGCAGGGCGGGTACCACAATGACGTGGCCGTATGAGTCTTCCTCATCATCTACGGGCTGGTCTCTCCTCGCGCGGAGACCGGGTGTGTGCTGCCTCAGTCGCTCGAAAGTGGTGGATATCATGCGCCGGAGCTGCGAGTTGGGCCTTGCCTCGGATGGAGAGTCCATCGCTTTATGTTTCAGCCATACGGCGGACACTGATAGGATTGGGATGAAGGGGAAGCAGGGTAGAATAGGGGTATAGATAGAGAGGGAAGTGACGTGGCGAGATGAAGATGATTCGGATTGAGAGGTAGGTGTGGGAGAAGCAGGGGTATGTGACGTGATGTGCGTCTATCTTAGGAGGATTGATATTCCCCCTGAATTGGCCTGGATCGCGAAATCACGTGACAAGCCACTAACACCACCTGTGTCAACGACGCCCGGGCTTTCTTGAACGACCATCATCATTCTTGGCACTATTCGGACTACGAGCTAGGGTTTAAAAGGAAATCCCTTGAAACAAATTGAACACGCTGCGCAGAGAAAGCCTACGAGTTCGTACGTCATGAGCCATGCGTCGACGGGGAAAAAGTCCGTGGTCGAGCGCCATTGCAGGACCAGGCTCTGCTGCCGCGCGGGGCCGCATGCATGGCCTGGTCAGCCGTAATTCGGATGATGGATCGTTCCCGTGGCTGGGGTTTCGTTATAGAAAAGGGAAGGAATAAGGATGAAGGGTACCAAGCAAGTTGAAAGAAAAAGAGCCAATTGCATACGAGGGTCGCTGGCGTTGGAGGGGCGTTTGGGGGCTGTTTCCATTGGACATGAATTGTCGACCGCCAGACAAAGGAGGTCTCCGCCTCGGTCACATGCCCTTCTCTGGTTGTGCTCGTTGCTTTTCAATGTTCTCCATGGCCTTATTTCTTTCAGATTCGAAGAGGAGCATCGTGGAGGTCCGGTCTGAGGATGGGGCTAAGCCTGTGTCCCCCTCGTATTTCCTTTCCACCAGGCTGCTGTGATGTCATGAAATGTTTTATTTTTCTCTCGCGCAGGTACAGCCCGCCCCTGGTAATCTTTCCACCGGTTCTTGCATTTGCAATTGGGTCCAGCAATCCCCGTTCCCTGCAGGGGGCTTGGGCGGCATGAGCAGCCGGGAATCGAAACAAAGTGTGGCGACGTGTTCAGGGGAACGAGCGTCGACACCCACAGATGCCTCTTGCTTCCGCTGGGAGTGTCAAGCCCTTGACACATCTCATGTCTAATCCATTCCTGGGAACGCATCCACCCACACCACCTACCCGGGACAGGGGTGGCTTCTGGAAGCCGGAACAGAAGCTGCGGGGTGTGGTATGGTAGCCATTATCCACTTGGACCTCATCGTACATAAGAAAAAAATGACCGTCCAACATGGCCAGCCCAGCTCCAAGCCCGTCAACGCGGCCATGAAGCCTCGCCTGGAACACAGGAAATCTGACATCGACCACCCCTGCACGATGTTGGCCTCCATCGGTTGGTGGAAGGATAGAGCTGAACAACCTCTCCTGGCTGACGCAGGTCCTGGGAATTTCCTTTCGGCAGAGCCGCTCAACTAGCCTTCTTCTGAGCAGGTTGCGGGTATCTGAATCTGTAACCTCGGAGAGTGGCGGTGAGGGATCGATTCCCGCACCGCCCTCGTCGTCGCGCAAGACGAGGCCTGCGAGAAAGTGTTCTGCAAAGAAGGAGGGCGTGCAAGCAGCACTCCCAAACCCAGACACCAGGCTGGCAAAAGGTCCGCATAGCTCGAAACTACTCTGCAGCCCCCGTGGTCCTGCGCATCCCGAGAGAGCGCCACCCAACCACCAGGCCAGGCGTCGAGAGACGTAAGCCCATTCCTTTGCTCTTTCACTATTTGGCCCTCCTCTCTTTGCTTGCCATCGGCCTCCGCCCACTCCACGGAAGAACTGTGCCAGAAGAATTCGAAGGATAAAGGGCCGTAATATCCCTCGTCATGGGAGGAGAAAGACACACAACTACCACCCCAACCTTGCGCACACCACACTCTCGTTACCCCCAGACCTCTGCTTTCTACAGACTTCATTTCCCTCTTTTGGTTTTCATAGACTTGACTTTTCTATATTTGCTTCCTACCGACTTCATTTCCTTCTCTTTGGTTTTCATAGACTTGACTTTTCTCTATTTGCTTCCTACAGACTTCATTTCTCTTTGTTTGCTTCTCACACACACACACACAGACTTGGTTTTTCTTTATCTGCTCCCTCTCCTATACCCCACCTCGTGCTCCGGCTCCCCGATCATGCCTTTCTCACGACCCCAGCCCGTGGTGCCCATCGAAGTCCCGGATATCTGTCGAATCTTCGTGGACGACTCCAACACCTGGATCGAGGGCCAAAAGCTCGCTGCCTCGGGCAGCCTCCACCTACCCAAGCTGATCGACGCGGAGCAGGATCCACGGTTCCGGCTCCACATGGACCATCTAGTGGAAAAGCTACTCAACAATCGTCAGAAAGGCCCCTCCTTTCGCTACGGCTCACAACCAGCCCCGGGGGACACGTCAAAGAAGTCCCGCAACAAATACCACCTCGAGACCAAGGTCTTTGAACGCTCTCACGGCAAGGAGAAGCAGGTAGACATCGCCATGGCGGCGGACATCGCCTTCTTGGCCGCCGAGCTGGATACAGGTGCCCGCTACGACCCCAGGATCAAGACACAGAAGAGACGAACCGTATTCGTCGTTGTCACGGGAGACTGCGACCTTCTCCCATCCATCGAGGGGGCCTTGGACCGTGGGATCCGCGTCGAGCTCTGGGCGTGGTCTAGCAACCTCTCGAGGAAATACATTGCCTTGGAAAACCAACACTCCACGTTGTCGGTTAGACACCTGGACCCCTTCGCGAAGGAGATTTCCTTCCTGAAATATAAGTCCACCTGGAAAACGATCGACCCAGCCCACGCAGTCGTACTCGAGCAGAAGAATGCTTCTCTTCTGCCCTCCGATATCGAAGGATCCATTACCGAGACACTTAAAGACAGGCACCGGCTGTTCTACATCACCAAACTCCGCTCGGCGCCACAGAACTTCGCTGTGGAGTTCCCCGGGTCAAAAACCTCGACGTTATGATCCTTGAACTAAGGCCCTACTTTGAGGGTGTCTACGACGTGACCTCATGGGGAGAGTACCATAGCCCTACTCGCAAGTCGCGACCTGGTCTCGAAATTCGAAACTCGTATGCGCCGCTAGCGAGCAGTAGCGCCCGAGCTTGGGAAACGCCGCGAGACTAGCCAACCCCATCAGCCAACCCGCAAGCCAGCAACTCGGAACAGCGGCGGCTACGGCGCCCGGGAGTAGCGGCCCAGAGGGCGGGCTGATACAAGGCACTGAATCCCCGACGACGCGCGCCCTTGGACGATGGTGAGCCGGTCAGACCCACGCAAGAGGCATATCGCCGACAAGCGGCGGGAGAAGCCCTGCCCAAACGGTGGCTGGTGCGGGCAAAGAGGCCTGCGGCCACTACCACAACCCCAAGGAGCAGGACTCCTTTCGGGACCACCCGGAGAGAAACGCGCAGTTTAGGAAGACGAAGGAGTGCACGTATCAACCGTGCAACCAGGGAGACTGTGCCCGTATGCACATAACGAGGCCGAGGCAAGGTGCCTCGCGTGTCGCCAATCCGGCCACTTTACCAACGACTGCCCGTACAACTTTACGAACAACCGGTATGCGAGATAGCCTGGACAACTTGGGATAGTCGGGATATCGTGGGCCGCTTCAGCAACGCCGCTCTGGTAGCGATCCGCGAATGCTGTTCCGCACTCTGGCACTTTCGATAACTCCCGACTCGAGATTTAAGTCTACAGGCCTCTTCTTCTACATCCTTTCCTTCTTTCTTTTATCTTGTCCTTTTTCGATTTCTTTTCCTTTGTTTTGGGGGATATGTCTTTCCAAGCACTAGATTGATACACAAACACTATAACCTTTGATTTTGTTTCGTTTCTCCCATCCTGTTTCATTTCTTCCCTCTTCTTCTTCTTTGTTCATCTCCTTTGACTCCTCTTGGAGTGGAGTGAGCTATTCTATCAACATTGAAGGCAATAAGACCTTGTTTGTGCGCTGGGCCTCTTTTTCATCCTAGATGGATATCCATTACTCTTCTTTCTACCAACTTTTTATAATACATTTTTGCAAGGCCATTCTTGATCCCCACCTGTACCTTGATCGTGATTGTCCCAACCATAAAACTGGTATGGTTGTTTGTGAATCGGCAGTGTATATTACATGTAGTCCTGTCAACTCTGTGGTAATCTCGTCTGCCAACCGCATTTCAATGTCTCATGCGATGAACGATGAACGGATGCCTGGAAATAGTGGGGAGGATCGAGTATACCACACCAGAACCAACCTATACTGCACGATTGGAAGGATCAATTGATCCACGATGCTACTTATAGATATCAATCGATAGCACCAAATCCTTTAGGCACGAAGGAGCGTTGGGCTTGCAATTTCGGGTTCCACAGAAAGTCTCCAACCGACGCAGGCAGAAGCGCACGTTCCACTCCTTTTGGATCGGCTTGGATGTCCTGCTGTGTCGTGTCCGCGTTCGCGATAATTTCTCCCGTTGGCGCGCCATCACATGATGTCCGATTGGGAAGGGGCAACTAAAGAGTTGCATGTCTAAATGTAATACTCCAAAGGCATTTAGTGTTGGTGGAAGGATTTTAGTTCGGGGAATCGATTGGGCAATTGACGAGTTTAAAAACTCACCTCGTCGCCGCCAATCAAGGATTCAATGTCCCTTGCCGTCCATTGTGCTCAACGCGATTCCTTCCCTTCCGTGCGCATACCACCAATTGTGACGGCCTAGAAAAAAAGAGGGGAAATAGGAGAAGAGATCATCGACCTGATACCCAAATTATCCTTCTTGTCTACACTTTTTCTCCTTTCATTCCTCTATACAAAAAAAATCGACTGTGGTTTCTCTCAACATGGAGGATCTCACCCCCGAGAAGAAAGCCCAGCTCCACGAGGTGAGGGACCTCATGCTGGAAATCTACCAGACCCTCGTGCGCATGCGCTACCTCAAGCCCGGCTGGATCCAGGAAGGCCCGCACGACCTGGACTCCCACAAGAGATTCCACGAGTCTCTCGACCTGGACCCTTCCATCCAGTACCTGTACCGCATCCTGCCCTACGTCCACAACCGCCACTTGGCCTTCTTCCAGGGCAGCGTCTTTGCCGACTTTCGAGACAAGGACACGGTCCGTGACGGCCGTGATCCTCTATACGACGGCGACGGCGACGACGGGGAGCCCCCCTCAAGCCCTGGATGACGCCCCTCTGCCTAATGGGAAACCACCAGAGCGTCATCGTCTATAGCGCCAAGTCGCATCATATCTGGATCTACGACCAGGAATCCTGTGGCAGCACAGACCATAACTTGCACGAGCGCGTACTCCTCCACCGGCAACGTCCTGTCCAGCGCCAACGATGGGACCGGTGACGGGAGCGCCGCGCAGGTCCAAGATGGCCAGGGTACACCTACGCGGGATGCCTCTCCGTCATCACCAGAACCACGGGCTGCAGCAGCCGGGCATCATGATGCGGACGACGGCCACTCCTCGCATAGCGAAGGAGATGGCACAGACCAAAGCGACCAGGAAATGGAGGACACGGAAGCCGAGTCCGTCGACGACGACGACGAGGAAGACGAGGAAGGCGACGAGGACATGGACGGCGAGGACGAAGACTGGAGCTCCGCTGACGAAGACGACGAAGAAATCAACGGCGAAGCCTACAACCTCGGCAACGGCCGCCCCGCCCCCGACGTCCTCCGCGACATCATCCTCTGGTTCAAGAGCCTCGACGAGTTCCCGAGCGGCGAGCACGCCGGCCCCGGCTGGGAGCTCGAAGACGTCGCCCCGCTCTACCGCAAGCACGGCTGGCCCGGCGACGACTTCGACGGCGACGCCTTCGAGATCGACCACGCCCGCCTCGACGCCACCTCCCGCATCCTGTCGCACGCCGGCCACGTCCCCGAGCGGATCCAGGCCCTCCAGGGCTCCTTCATCCCCTACCAGAAACAAGGGCTCGAGACCGTGCGCGCCCGCCTCGCTACCGCCTCGACCCCCGAGGAAGAGTGGGCCGCCCGCTGGGAACTCTTTCGCGACGAGCGCCGCCTCCAGCACATGCAAGCTGAGCTCGCCGACCTCGAGGCCACGACCGCGCGGCTCAACCTCAACGAGCAGCTCTTACCCCCGCACGAGGTGCCCCTGCTCGAGCTGATCCCCTGCGCGCCGCCCTCGACGAGGCCCGGGGTAAGCTGGCCCAGTTTCGCGGGGAGCTGGAGAAGTCCGACTCCCAGTATAGCCGGGCGTACTGCGAAGACATGATTGCCGAGAGCGAGGAGGCGATCCGCCTCCACGAAGGCGCCATCGCCCTGGCCGAGGCTGATGCGAAGCGCCTCGCGCCTTCCGGGGCCGGCGACGCCGTCACGTCCGAGAATGGCCTAGGCGTTATTAAAAGCCTCGGGCCGACGGATTGGCGCGCGGACCTCGAGGGCAAGCTCAGAGAGGAGAGGGCTACTCATGAAGCGTACGCGGCTTGGCTGGCCGATATGCCTGATGAGGTGCCCCAGGCCAAGGCCAAGGTGGAGAGCCAGGTTCGACTGAGCGAAAGCGTGATTGAGTCCTATCTTGAACGCCTGGCGAATATGCCCTAGAGGGGGCGGAGCATCCTTACAATCTGCTTCTATATAGTATTTAGATGTTGTATATACATGCGAGAGTCTCGTGAAATCGAGACTATATCTTTGCGTTGCTCCCTTGGGACGTTTCAAAGGCTTACTCCTTGACACAAACGTGACAGATCAAATGCGGGATTAGAGATACTGCGATATAAGGGTGATTATATATGAATCAAAAGTCTACGTCATGTAATGATGTAGCAAACCAGCTACTTTTCTCCGCTCTTTTTCGCCTTGGGCTCAGGCGGGTACACAACAATGCGATCAATATCAGCCCCCTTGTAGTCGAACCCGTTGTGGAGGCCACCAATGGTGATGTTATTGCTGCCCTTGCCGAGTGGGAGGAGGAGCGGCGTGGAGAGGATGATGCCCTTGTGGGTGTCCTTTTGGTACAAGGTGTGCACATTTTCCGTGTCCCCGTTCACCACCACGCTGCTGATGCGGCGCAGTTGCCAGGTCCCGTTGATGCGGTCGGGGGCTCCCATGGGCTGGTCGCCGAATCCCATGTCGTCGATGTCTGAAGCACGCCGCGCGTTAGCCCCGTAAAGCAAGCTCTAGTTTCCAGGCTAGGGGAAGGATTGAGACCTACTTTGGTGGTAGAACGAGACCCATTGGTCTTTTCCTTGGCCTTCTACTTCAAAGGTGATGGTGCTGTCGTTGCCGTAGATTCCGGTGGCGATGACATGGTCGCTTCCAAACGTCTAGCTCGGTGGATGGAGAAAGTTAGCGATGAAGTAGACTTTTGAATAGAAAGAAATACGGCGAAATCTTACCGCTTCTTGCAACCAGACGTCACCCGCAACGGTGGCGCCGCTCGAGGTGTACGTCTTGCCCTTGATGGGAGTCCATTCTCCAGTTTTTCTAAAGGCTCGTTAGAAGCCGCAAAGAATTAAAAGGTGTACAATTAACTTACACGTCTAGGTCATACACGTCGTGCCAGAGCACTTGGAGACTGCCATCCTCTTCGTTAATCTCGATGGGCAGCCAGACGTTACGGCTCTCCCACAGCGACAAGCTGTCCCACTGATCTCCCATGTATAGATATGTCGTCTTCTTGGTGCCTTTTATCCTCCACGAGAACCCGGACTGGGTGCTGAACGTGCGCGTGTACGCGTCGGAGACGAAAAAGGCTGAGACCAAGGTCCCTCGAGCTTGTCGGCCCTCATCGCGACCACGTCTACGCTCAAAGCCTCGTTAGCTGTCTGCGCGAAGTAAGAATTTGGTAGCACCTAGGACTTTCACATACTATTTGGGCGGTAGCCCGTCTTGTGGCTCATCAGCGCAAAGTAGCTTTTCTCCGTCTGCAGAATAGTTGGCGCCTCAAAATCGTACTTGTTGAACCGGAACGTGACCTCCTCCACGTCGGTCAAGTTGTCGTTGAACTTGCTGACGTAGACGTCCCGCCCCTCGACGCTGTCGCCGTTGGAGTAGAGCGCGTACGAGTGGCCCGTCTTGTAGTCGGTGAAGGCGCCAAAGTCCTGCGACCAGTTGCCCAGCGGCGCAACGGCCTTTTCGAACGTATACGGGCCGGCGATGTCCTCGGAGGTTGCGAGGCCTTGTAGGAGGAGACTGTATTTGGAGTCATCGGCGTGCCACCACATCTAGACACGCGGGACATTGTATGAGCATCTTGACTAAAACATCTTGACTTGCCATCGTAGAGGCTTTGGGGGAAGGGGCTTGCGTACATGGTATTTTCCCGTTTCCTCACTGTAAAGCACCTTGGGGCGCTGGATGACGCTCTCCGGGAGATGAACTCGTGATCCGGGACCGATTCTGCTCGTAAAAAGAACTGTTAGTCCTCGACAGCCCATTCTACATGTGGCGTCTAGTGTTTTCCGAATCACGTCGCTGCGCTTTTGTCCGCGCGACCAACAAAAAACCGCCCAATCTTACCTAGCGCAATGCCGTGCGATGTCCAAGTCGCTAGATCATCAGAGCTGTAGACCGAGACACCACCGCCCTCCTCCTGCCCCTCGGTCTTGTATTCACCAAACCAATAAAACCGACCCGACTCTTGGTCTACGCATAGGCCTCCAGCATGCGCGTTGAACCGGTGTCCATCGGTGTCGACCCAGCGAGCGCCGGGGACGATCCACTTCGCGGTGGCGGTCCCGGCGGTGGCCAGTAGCAGGAGCGCGGAGCTTGCGGCGCGAAGCATGGTGTCGTCGAGCGCTGGGCGGAAGAGACGGGGCTATCGGCGACTGAGTGCGTGATTCGACCGTACAATTGATGCTGGATTACGCAAATCTTGGAACCCGCACGGCGACCCGGAAAACAACAAGCAAGTCTACAATCGTGCAAGACAAACGATTTGGGAGGCGACGCACGCGTTTTAAACCCAATTTTTAGTTTTATTTATTTCCTCCTCTCCTCGCCTACTGCTCCCGCGAGAGGGCTCTCGGCCCAAGTCGATAGCGAGATTGTAACCTATAGCGGAGAACTCCACGAGCGAACATGCGACGACAAACAAGTTTCCATATTAAAAAGCTATCCGCTCGCGACATCCTATTGCTGCGGCTAGGCGAGGTTGATCTGGCGCCTGTGATTAGTTGCAGCGACTGCCTCTTTGGTGATTAGTCCGCGAATGAGCGCGGGAAAATCCGTGCGGTCGCAGTTCCCGGCTCGGCTTCAAATTATGTACCTCGATGTTGTGCAATCCACGCACGCAAGCAAACGCACGGGCTGCATGGGCCGGTTCCAATCTTTCTTCCCTTTTCTTTTCTTTTTCCTTTCAATGTTGTGTTAAGCTCAGGAATTGAGCCGTGACTGGAAGGATTACCTCATTCAACCCGGGTCATTGACCGAACGTGCTCGGAAATGGGACTCTGACTTCGGGGCAAAGACGACCCGACAAGAGCAGCGGACGGGAGGAACTTTGGGGATCTACACCGCTAGCAATTACCCCACGTCCGGGTGGATCTCAAGAGCTTGACTGTTCTTCAGTCACGGCAGGTAAATAAATGTTGATGACTCTGCCCTGTCCGCGAATATAGGCTCCCAGCCCCCAGGGACTGACTCAAGCATCCAACCTTTGCTTTTTCCCCTTCTTCTTCATGCCCACCAGAGTGGAATACACGGGAAAATCGCTACCAGGCTCCTGGTTTTCATAACTCTGCCAAGGGACGATCCCGCCGTTCCCGATAGAAGCTATCATGACGTAAACGGGATTTCTTGAATCTTAATGTATGTTGTCTTTGCCGTCGACTCCTGGGGAGATGAGCATCCTTATATTTGAGCGAGTTAGTTTCCACAACAAAACTCTTCAGACACACCATGTGATGCCTTTTGCAAACAGGGAAAGTTGGAAACTAACTCATGTCCCGCATCCCCGATTGAGAACGGCAACGCCTCCTTCATCGCGGCGAGACGGCAAATCAACACCGATCAAAAAGCAGCCCCGTGACCTCTGCCCCGTGAATCCAGCAAGAAAAAAGTAAACTTCCCCAATCTCAACCATCCCAAAGGCAGGGATCGGGTCTCGGTTGCGGTTGGGTAGAGAGGGCCTTTGCCCAAAGCGCGGACGCGAGAGCGGGACCGGATCAATTAGGCAGTCAGCAGAAATCCTGCCGGCTCGCCCGTGGCCAATTGCAAATCTCTCAAAATTGCGCTCAACCCTCAACCTCTGGTGCGCGGCTCAGCAACGCAACCGCCAACTTCGGAGTTTAGGATGATAGGGTTCCCTTGAAGATTTCCCGCTCAATCCGCGCATTCTCTTGTTCCGGAGAGGCTCGGGATGGCATCTCATGCCTTCACCGTCGCTGTTGTGGTTGGAATATAAATATTCACGACGATCCGCACCGATTGTGATCAGGATGGAAACAGACTCGTTCTCCTCACGCATAATTCAGTGGTTGAGCTTAACCTCGCCGGACACCCTCATTCATATAGTCTTTAACTCCGACGCCACATTTCCCCCTCTTCACAAAAATCATGGCCTCAGATCTAGGCCACGGGTGCGTCCCAGAGACCTTTGGCAACCTCACCCTGTTCGGGGCCGAAGTGCTGGCCGTCTCAGCAAACCTGGTCACCAGCCACAGCGCGTCCGTATCGTCAGACGTTCGCTTCACCCAACCCTCCATCGAAGTCCAAGACGCCACATTCTGCAACGTCACCGTAACCTATACCCACCCAGGACAGCACGATACCATCAACGTCGAAGCCTGGCTCCTGTAGACGGCTGGAACGATCGTCTCCAGGCCGTAGGTGGTGGGGGCTGGGTCGCCGGGCGGAGTGAACCCTTCTATGGCGCCATGAGCGGCGCGGTCGGGGATGGCTACGCGACCATGGCCACGGATGCCGGGCTCGGCACCGCCCAAGACGCCTCTGCTTGGGCTCTTCTGAGCCCCGGAAACGTGGATCTGTATACCCTTCAGAACCTCGCATCGGTTTCGTTAGAAGACGAGGTACGCTCCAAGCTCAAACCTTTGCCTTCTCATTTTTGTTTTTGTTCTTTACGCCTCCGAACTCCGCTAACAAAAAGCAACCACAGGCCATCCTGGGCAAGCAAATCATCAAAGCCTTCTACGGCCGCCCCCGCCTTCTCCTACTGGAACGGCTGCTCCCAAGGCGGCCGCCAAGCCCTCATGCTCGCCCAGCGCTACCCCACCGCCTACGACGGCATCGCCTCCGTCGCCCCCGCCGCCTACTGGACCGACGTCTTCACCAGCATGCAGTGGCCCCAGCAGTTCATCAGCATGCTCGGCGAGGCGGCCCCCGCCCCTGCGAGATCGAAGCCCTCACCGCCGCCGCCATCGCCGCCTGCGACGGCCTCGACGGCGTGGTCGACGGCATCGTCGAGGACGTCGACGGCTGCCGGGACACCTTTGACCCGTTTGCGCTCGTCGGCCAGACTTTCGACTGCGCGCGCGAGAACGCGACCCTCGAGATGGGGTTCGCGGCCGCTGCGGTGGCCAACGCTACGTGGCAAGGGGTGAACACCGCGCACGGCGTGCGGGCCTGGCCGGGGCTCAGCCCGAGCACCGACATCGCTATCGGCGTCGCCATGACGGATTGCAGCAGCGGTACCTGCGTGGGCGTGCAGCTGCCTATTAGCGCCACCTGGCTTTCCCTGTTCGTCTTGAGGGATGCGGACGCAGATCTTGCCCACCTTAGCCACGAAGAATTTGACTGGTTGGCCCACTTGAGTGGGCAGAAATACAAATCCATCATTGGCACGGGCGATGCCGATCTTTCCGCGTTCCGAAAGGCTGGCGGCAAGCTCATCAGCGTCCACGGACTTGTAAGTGTGACCCTCAAAATCCCCAATACACTCCTGTACCCCACGATTGCTCGTCGCCTAGTCATTCTAACATTACGCACAGGACGATCAACTCCTCCGCCACAGGGCACCGCTATGTACCACGAAAAGTCTCGGAGGCACTAGGAGGCGCAGATGACTTCTACCGGCACTTCCAAGTCCCGGGAATGGGCCACTGTTCCGGAGGCCAGAGTGGTGGGCCTCTCGGGCTGTTTGACCAACTGCGCGCGTGGGTGGAGAACGGAACGGCACCCGACTCCACACCCGTGCAAGTCACCACAGCTGAAGGCGAGACACATAACCGTATATTATGCCCCTACCCCCAAAAGGCCATTCTCGATAGGGAGTGCGGGGATCCTTCTCTTGAAGAATGCTGGTCGTGCAGTGGGTAGAAGAGAGTAGCGCAGGGGCCCGGCACTTGGTATGTACTGGGAGTCATAATAAACGAGACAAATGCAACGCGTCGGTAGTTTGGGGCATCTGGAAGGATAATTATAATATCTTTGTAAATATGACTAAAATTTAAATAAGAAAAAAGAACCAAATCTCCAAAACGCCGCGCAAGTCCACCTCGTCTTTAGCATATTTGAGTGCTTAACAAATAGAACGAGCGTTATAAGCCGTTTCCTTACCATTACCCAATTAACTACGGCACATCTTTCATTAAACCTTGTCTAGTATAGCTCATGAATGGGAGCACCGCCCGCCTCGTGTCGTCCAGGAGGCGGTGGCGGGACTGGCACTGCTTGCTTCACCCCGGCCATAACTTGCACGCTTCCATCGAGCTTGGGTTCACTTGTGCCCCGGGAAGCCTTTGCCAAGTACCGCCGCCTCACGAAAAAGCCAATCACGGCACCAATAACAAAGGCCAGCGATATTCCAAGGCCCAAGCCGAGCTTGAGTCCAAGCGTATTCGACGAACTGGACGGATCCTATGAGTCACCGTTAGCACCAAAATCACGAAATCACATGACCACGAGGACGTAAAGTGACACGAAACAAAAGGGAAACGTCAAAATGAAGACTGGAAAAACATACCGACGATCCCCGTCGGGCCCGTTGTTCGAGCCGAAACCGGGGTTCGAAGCGGAGCCGGACGTCGAGGTTTCGGCGCCGGCGCTAGAGGTGGGAGTGGAGCCGGGCATGCGGCTAGCGGCGGTTGTGGAGGCCTGCTCCGCCGCCTCGAGCACCACGTACTGGGAATTAAACCCGACGGCATCTTCGAGACGGATCAGGAAGTGGACCGGCGAAAGTCGATACTCATCATTGGCGTCAGTGAGTGGGGTGACCGTCCACGAAAACGACGTGGGAGCTGGGCTGGGCACTTGATCTGGTGCACGGGGTTTTCATCGGTCAGCAGTGGTCAGGTCAAATCTTTAGCGGCGCGCATGCCCATTGACACGTTGGTCTTCAGTTCCGTTCGCCGCTTCCCCCAAGAATAAGAAAGAGCTTCGCTACCTAAAAGTCGGAGGCTGTTGAGACCTCTTTCCGGCCCCCTCGGGCCCTGAAACACCACGAGCGTCAAACGGCCAGTCGTATTCGTGACCCATTTCAGATTCGCCACCTCTCCAACCTTGAACAAGTAATTCGAGTCGCCGACGAGGACGCCATCGGGCCCCCTCGGGCGGGAAAACGAAATGGTTCTGGGCCGTCGCGATACCGGACAAGGCGAGCAAGCTGAAGATGAAAATGGCGAAGAAGGCTGTCATGTTTCCAGCACGCGGCGAGCGGGGAGCCTTTTGCGCCAGGAAACGAGCGCGGTCGGCCAGATGTGGTCGTTAATCGGGCATACGTGAGATTGTAGCTTCCGGAGAGCTAGTCTTGCTGCTCGGACCGTGGCTGAGCGACGATATTTATTATGGTTTTTCCCAACACCCCAAAACATTTGATCCATGCAGATATACCCCTCGCTTCCCAACCAGCCACTTTTCGACCAACCAGCGGTCGTGGGTATGAAGCTTGGTTCCTTTCCCCTTGTCCACAAAGCCCAATTTTCCTAGGAATAGCCGGCAGTATTAAATTGATGCCCTGTTAAATACGGTGGCTTTGAACTCTCGAAGAAAATGACCACAATCATTCCTCTCGAAACGAAGATGTCGGCATCTTAAAACCTAGCCCTAGTTGACCGACGGCAGTAAGAGCCACCCCCATGATGCGGTCTGACCCATCCGCTGGTCATGATAGCAGTTCGCCGATTGCTCTGGTGTCTTTGGAGGGCTCTCAACAGCCACAAGCAGTTGTCAGCCTGATAAGGTAGCTTGCTATATACATGGCAGGATGTGATTGGGGGTATGTATAATCGTCTTATTTTTGTCCAATTTCTTTTCTTGAAGGGTTCATGCAAGTCTTGCCGTTGATCAAGTTGACTAATTTGAATGGCCCATGGGGTCACGTTGATCTGTGAGGGTAGCTATATGCCCACAGATTGCTGCCTCGCCATAAACGAAACCGTAACAACTACGAAACGTTGTCTCAAGATATAAAAGCCTCCCGATATTTTCTTATATAAGAGGCATATGTCGGCCACACTATTGATATCTAAAAAGTGAATCGGCATTCCCTTGAAATGTCCATCCAACGGATCCATCTCTCCAAGTCTAGGGGCCGCTATCTTCCAAACGGCGAAGACTCTAATAAACGCTCATCCAAACATCTTGTCCAGCACCTTTTCGAAGGAGTTCCTAGCAGAGATTCATTGTTAGCGACAGGGAACATAGACGTCGGATGAGGTAAGAGCGCGTACTTGGGAGGCTGTGGGATATAAGTCCTCTCATATTCCTCAATCGCATCGAGATCCTTTCGCAAGTCAACCTCGTACGGCTTATATATTTTTGTTTTGTGGACAATCTTCCAGCCGAGGTAGAGGACTGGAAATAGCATGATCATAGTATATCTTTTGACTCTGTCAGTATTCACCGTCGTCCCGCCGTTGGAACAATGGTAAGGGGGCTGCACTCACGAAAATAAAAAGTTGGGGATATTCCACATTCCATCAAGCGGCAGAAACACGGGGTACCCACCCACGAACATCATGACGAACGTGCCGACAAACCCATACCACGCCGCATACGGCATGAACCACGCCCTGTAGGGCAGCGATCGCCGATCGATCCCCTGAGCCTTGAGCGCGCGGTAAAAGCAGAGGTACGACAGGCACGAGACGGCAAAATTGAGCAGTTGCGAGGCGGTGACGAGCGAGACGAGCCAGCTTAGCACGACAGCCGAGCTTGACGACAGCTGCAGGAAGGCGAGCATGCCAAAGGCCAGGACGGCAAGAACACAGTAGATGGGCACGCCATTGGGGGTGCAGCGGAGGAGGAAGCGCGGCGCCTTGCCCTCCAGCGCGAGGCCGTACAGGGACCGCGAGCCGCAGAACACGTACGAGTTGCCCGCGGAGAAGGCGGCCGTGAGGACGAGTGCATTAACGACATCAGGCATCACGCCGATACCCAGACGGCGCATGGCGATGACGTAGGGCGAGGCCGCCGCACCCGGCTCCCCTTCGCGGAGGGCGGCCGTCAGCTCCTCCGAGTTGTAGGGCACGAGGATGCCGACGCACAGGGCGCCGAGGACGAAGAAGGTGGTGAGGCGGTAGAAGACGGCGTTGAAGGCGCGGGGAGCACGTGGCGCGGGTTTTCCGCCTCGCCGGCCGCCATGGAGACGTAGTCGGGCCCAGAGATGGAGAAGGAGGCTTGGATGAGGCACTGCAAGAACCCTAGCCAGCGACCTAGAGATCCATTGTAGTAGAGCTCGGCGAACGCGCCCGGATCTTTCCAGTAGCGGAAGCCAAAGCGGTCGTGTTTGGGGTTCCCGCCGAGCATGACGATGAAGGTGAAGAAGATGAGGCCGACGGCCAGGATGACCTTGCCGATTGCGGCCCAGAACTCGGTCTCGCCGTACCATTCGACGGCGATGACGTTGATTAATAGGTACAGCACGGAGATGATGACGATGACGGCGGCGGTGGGGATGGCGTCCGTCCAGAAATGGAGAATCATGTTGCAGGCCACGATCTCGAAGGGCACTAACATAGCCTCAAAGACGAAGAAGTTCCAACCCGCGGCGAATCCAAAGGCCTCGTCGACGAAGCGGCCCGCGAACCGGATGAAAGGGGAGGATATGGGGAGATATGTTACCATCTCGGCCATACACAGGGTAACAGCGAGGACAAAAGTGCACCAGAATGCTTTTAACCGGGGTCAGACCGTCGGCCCACGAGTTAGTTAAAGCACCAAATGCTGGAGGTGAGGGGGCGGCAGCGAGATAAAGACCCGGGATTTAGGTGCTCACGCAACACTTACCAAAGGCAATCAACAACGAACCAGGGCCACCATTAAGCAGACCTTGACCGATTTGAACCTACAAGTACAGATAATACAATTAGCTACATGTTTGTTTCAGGATACGATATCTTCCGGAGGGATATGTGTTGTTCTGATATTAGGGAAAACATGAACCACTTACGAATAAGGCGGTCCCAATGGTGCCACCAATACCGATGAGCTGAATGTGTCTCGCCTTGAGAGTACGATGGGTATAGTCGAACCTTGGTTTTGACGTGATGGAGCTACCTGACGCGGAGGGCGGTTTGGGTGTCCCGGCGCCGCTCGGCGTTTTCTCCGCGTCGGAGCCCGTTCGACCCATGATGGGGGCCGGGTCCATCCTTGGACCGGAGGGTGCTTGTATTTAGGAGAGGTGCACACACCGCCCGTGGGGCAAGATAGAGGCCCAAAGGAAAGAAAGGCAAAAAGAGTTTAGTTGTAGGTTTTCTCCCGCCTGATACCGGCCGGCGCGGGAACTGGAGAAGAGGTGGAGACCCGTCGTTCCGCGGCGCGGTAATCAGTGGATTTGCTTGAGGAGGAGGGAGAAGAATTCGGTGACAAATTCCATGGGGACCTTGCTAGATGTTCTCCTCAAACCATTATAGGTAGATACAACAAAGCATTGACAAGAAGCCTGACGAAACGTTGTGTTCCAGGCAGGCACCACGACACTTCTGCTTGATTGAAGTATAGAGAGACGCAGCTGGAGAAAATCCAGCCCGGACGGAGAAGATCAAAAAGAAAGGAAAGGATCACGAGAGGAGAAAAGTTTTTCTTTTTTGCTACTCTAGTGGCAAGTGGATTCTACAAGCGGCGTCGACCCACCTACGATGATCTACCCGAATGAGAAAAAGCCCCTTGGGGGTGGTCCGACTCACACTAATTGTATGATCAAAGGAACGTGGGGCTTTCACAAGGAAACTAAAGGATTTGTGTGGACACCGCCCTTGTACAGAATGAGACACAATGAGGGCGACGCGATCATTTTTGGCCTGATTGCGGGATGACGTATGATGTTGAGTGGAGCCGCACAACACACGATCAATAGCCGTGCACAACCTATAATAACCATAATAGTTCATGATGCGCGAATTGGGTGTAACCCCCAACTCTATAGTGTGGGGAACCGCGAGTACCCGTGCTTAAGCCCGGTCCATTCCAGTCAGGTCCCTCAGGGCAGACTCTTTTTCGTAACGACGCTCTTTCCCGAAGCCACGATGTGAATCGTGAGCGAGGTATGAGTTGCCAATCATGGGAGTGGAGGTGACACCTCTCCGCCTATAATTACCTCTGCTGATCGTCTGCGAACCGAGATGTAATGTCTGGGTTTTGCAATTCAACCTATTGATTTGGTCTGATGAGGATGGGCCGGGTGTCGGGCGGGATAGACAAGATAGGTGTATGGCCGCTGGGAGGATCTTGAACATCGCGAACGACTTGCTGCTGGCCCAGAGTAGTTCAATGACAACCTCATACGCCATGCGAGCCCTAACCAACAGACCAGATGTGTCTTATATCAAGGGCTCACATCATACTTTCAGCGCTGTAGAGACTAGAATGAAGCGGTATCTAGCTGTGAGACTACTTATATAGCACATGAGGCTGAGCCCACGTGGTATGGACGAGGCAACGCGGTATTGGATGGGCATCGGAAATGTATCATGGGCAAGCATCTGGATTCTGGTCTAGAAAGCAGGGCTCGCCATGACACCGTTTGGGACTCGTAGAGTTTCCCCTGGGGTGTAGCCTCCGTGAATGTTGCGCTTCCCCCACACAAAGCATGATAGGTCTTGAGATCTTTGAAAGATTGCGCTCTTCGTGATCCATTGGCTCGTCCGCGATAATTTGCGGTTGACATTGATCATACCGTAGGCCTAAGCCGTCAATCCACGCTAGATATAATCCTAATATTCTAGGTAGTAAGTGTTGAGTTTGGTGAGTATGCATCCGTAGCTAACGATCATGGTTATGATATCATGCGTGTGATTGTCGCTCCGAGAAGCATCACGCTGAGATCGGAAACCTGGCATCGAACGCCATTACTGCGCTGTCTCTCGCTCCTAAACAGAACATCAAAAGTGTCAGCAACAGTTAATTTGGCATAATGGGAACCTTGACGATGTCGAATCTCATCAATTCTCGAGGCACCTCTTGATGCCCGCAGTAAAGAAGGTATCAAAGGGAAGATCGCCTTGGGATAATCCAGAGAGAAGAAAGGCGTGCCACGGGTGACGGTAGCAACAACCACTCTCGAGTAGGAGAATCGCAGTCAGGGTCAAGAAACTCCTCTTGCCAATCCCTAGCTAGCTTTTTGCCAGCTGAGGGGGATATGGCTATCCGACATTCCTTGATCACCCAAAGACCGTTGCTTCTCTAGCCCCCGAGCACTTTTGAAAGTCCTGCAAATCCAACCTTGCCCCCGAGGAGACGGTCAAGATTCTGGTCGTGCGAGCACACACAATTTGCCTCGATTATGGAGAATGGACAGCGCGAGGACCGTGAGCTGTTCAAGAAAGGTTGCACGCCAGGGATATCGGACCCTGTTCGTACCCGTGAGCATTGATGTTCCGTTCTTTCACAATCATGGGAACTCAAGCTGTGGAAAGTCGCGATGTTAGTGCCTGGACCTCCCCGACATCCTCGATCGGGCGTAAAGAGTCGGCAGGATGGCACTCAGGAAAGATCATTGGTGATTAGATCATTGATGATCAGCGAAGACTGAGCGGGCAGCGAGGGTGAGAAGCAAGGGCAAGACGCCGTGTGCGCCCCTCCCCCAAAAACAGGCCCGCCCGGGGACGGAAATCCCCGCCTTTCTCAAGCGTTGAAGCGTGTGGTTTCCGGAATTCCTCGTCCTCTCTGCCCCTGCATAACCGTTCGGGCAAGCTATTTCCCCATCTTGCAGCCCGGTACAATGTCCTGCCGAAGGTGCATGACAAAGCGCAGCCAAACCTCAGGAAGGGGAAGGGGGCTGGTTGTTGGTTTAGCACTCTCATGCATGCATCCCCATCACAACCGGGGATTCCCCTCCGGCATCTCTTCTGGTGCTCTATCTATCGAGGTTGGAAGTGGCGTCTTGGAGAACATTGAATTGATGAAAGCCAAGCCGCGCTGTCCAAGCGTCGTGCTTGAACGAGCGCCTCATTCTTCCTCTCCTTTGCCCCCAAAAACGCTTTTTTTTTTCTCCCATTACGTTCCGCGCAGGATGTGCTGCAAATTTCCCTCGATTCCCTGTCATCGAAGAGTTGGAAGGCCTACGACATGCGTCTCGCCTGAAGCCACTTCCCCTCAAGGAGCAAAAGATCGCCGCGGAGGCTGAAGAAGGATGGCGGGCTCTGCAAGGATGCCCCCAAGACAAGAATTTTGTGCGCAGCCAAGACCTTTGCTGAGGACAGAGAGCGTTCAACCTGCGTCCGATTCTTTTCGCTCCGCTTTGACCTCGACTCGGTGGCTATCGAGGACGGGGGAAGTCGTCCGGATAGGCACTAGAAAAAAGAATTGTGGGAAATACAACCGAAATCGGATAGAAATAGTAGAGCGACAAAGGCCGCTATAGATTCCTTCGCCTGAACCTAAGCTTATTACCTCGTTAGAGGTTTCCGCAATGGGCACTAGGTTGCTCAACAAGGTTTTTGCCTCATCTCTGCGCGTGTGCGAGTTAAGCGCAGGCGAGAAGATTTGTCGGATCGCTTGCTTTGATTACATCTATCTTAACAACGGCGGCATGTTTGGTTGGTGGCGCTTCATTCATGGACGGGAGGGGATTAGATTACCCTTCTCCTGGAAAGGCATGTTGAATAACCAGACGGAGAGGACGACCATTATGCCAAGTACGCCACAAATCTTGAAAACCGTACTTTCGCTTCGTTTTATTTGGTCAGTCCAACCCTTAAGCTTCTTGGGGCGGCTGAACGCGGGATCCAAACATCATGGCATGATGGCTCGAGAGCAACCTCGTCGCCTGGCCCAGACTATTGTGTTCATCTTATGCGCATCTCACACGACTCAAAAAGCCGCCGTGTGTGTGTTTATTGGGAGTAGTGAACGTTTATCATCAAGAGCTATTGATGAGGCTTGATGATGACCCATGGCTTGTCCATCTCTCAGTCTCCTGCTCCCTTGGCAATAAGCTTAAATCTGGGCTGCGTTGGAGCCTGTCTGTCAAAGCGCACATATCATATCATTGAAATGCAAGAACTGTGTGCCATGCCCTGTTCAAGCTTGAAAGACGCAATGGAATGGGCTTCTCATCTTGAAGGGGAAAAAGGTAAGATGGGCACGAAAAGAAAATGGTGCAGTAGACGATGGACTCGAGATTCCACTCACGTCGTTGAGCTGTGAAGAATGATAAGGTCTTCTCCATCCCTTGTCCCCCCTGCTGTGTGACCAAGGAAGCCAGCGAGAGACTGTCCCCGAGCGTACCGAAGCGACCGAAGACAAACATCGGCAAAGTGGTGATGCACTGGCTTTGCCATTCGGGACTTCGCCCTCGGATCAAAGCTCCGTTCAACCAACAAAACGCTCAGCGGGGTCCGTGCGGCTGCGCTGAACAAGAGGAAAAGGAGAGGCGAGATTGGTCCAATATGCTCTTCTGCACCTCTTGCAGCTGCGCGAGGTTCAATGCTTGTCGAACCAGCCGTGTCCCAAGCTGGATCTGCCGCGCTCCGAGGAGGAAACGCTGATGCTGCCACAACTCAATTCCAATTCTAATCGTTCAATCCAATCACAGAGCCGGTGCAAAACCAATTCTCACCGGGGGGGACACGATATTTGGGTCCGCTTTGACAATGTGGCGCCAACAAGGGCACTCATCTTTTTTCCCCCATGCCTGCCTTGTCCACGACATCCAAAGTTGGCGCTGGTGGCGCACCCCAAAACCTAAACCCGAAGAGGAAGGTCTGGGGGAGGGACAGGAACGAACAGCCCAGGCGCAGTGAGGGTGGCCCTGTGTCTGGTTTTGTGGAAAGTTGGTTTCGAATAATCTTATTTGGGGAAGAGGCGCGAAAGGTTGGTCGTGATGTTGGGTTCGGGAGTGACGCCCCGGACGGGTGATGCCCAGTGAGGCGCACCAGGGACCGTGGGTAGATGGGTGGGTGGAGAGAGATAGTATTAGTGCAGAAAGTCGAATCGATGGGGACAGGCTTTCGACTCCTTCCGCGCACACGAGCCTCTTGTCGACTCAAGTCGGGGAAGGCTGGTTTACAGATGATCACATTGGGGGATAGACATGGATGCATTCGCCATCTGTAAGCGCATCGCGCATCCCTGACTAACCAGTAACACAGATCGCGAGCGCTGTGGCTTGCGGTGGAGAGCAAGGGAGAA